AAAAATAAAGTTAATATGTTAATTGTCTTGTAATAAAATTTTCAAAACTGGCCAATACTTTTTATACCCCCCTGTACATCGCAGTATTTGTCAGTAGTGAAGGGAGTGTACCTCGAAGAATGGAAAGTAAGTATCAATATGTTTTTTTGTGCTATGGAGAGAAATAGTATTATTTACATATTGTGATTCTTATTTTTTAGCTCGTAGTGCATGGTCACGTGCAGAAAAACCAGTGATGGAAATTAGTGATCTTAGCGAAAAAGAGTCAAAGGATTATCTGATTAAGAGGTGCACAATCAAGGAAGAGAAAAAGGGCAAGTTTATTAGAACGGAATGCAAGATCAATGATGAACAAGTAAATGAATTATATAAATTAGTTGGTGGACGCGCTGTTGATCTAAAGGATGTGGCGAACAAATTTCTAGCTGGACACTCTCTCGAAGGTAAGATTAACTTTATATTTATATCAAATAAAATTACGCAACTCTGCTTCTTACTGGCTCTTTTTCTGCAGTCATCAAACAACAAGTCTTAACCGAAGTTGAAACGAAATTCCAATCTGCACAACTCCTTCCAAATGATCCACATTACGAAGTAGGAAAGTGTATTATTAGTGATTTGTTAGAGTATAAAGAGATTAGTTTTTTAACATTTAAGAAATATTTCAATAAGACTGATGAATTAAATGAAGTGTTAGAAAGCAACATATTTGCATATTATCTGACAAAAAACACTGTGACCTTTCAATCTCAATCAGTAGAATATTATATTCAGAAAAACTCTGATATATTTGTTAAAGAAAAATCCATAAAATAAGACTGGGATTTACATTTTTAGAGAAAGTATAGAATCTACGTAGAAATAATATATTAATAAATAATAAAGCTTATTTTATTGCTAAAGGGGTTAGTAAATAAATTTTATTCTTTTGTTACTATTATAATGTATTATTCTGAATATTGCGCGTAATTCCGATAACTTTTGCATTAATATCAGAGAAGCAAAGTGAAAATGTATGATGCTATCAAAGAGGGAGGGATTACGCGGATCCTAGGCCATTTAATGCGAGTCCCAGCATCAAATTATTTATTTGCTTCAGATAAATTTCTAAGGCTAATTCACTACTATTACTAACTACACTCTCACCCATATTCTTTCTCTACCCGAGATAAATTCTCTCACTTATATCTATATAATTTTCACCAGTATATATTACTCCCACTAAGACAGAAAGTTTCAATTTTAGTTAAGTTCCGCAAGAGAACTTTCACTGGATTAAATAATTTCGAATCTACAGCATAAATCGGGAGATTAGCAACTGAGGTAGAGAAAGCAACGTAATGCTACTGATTCACACTTACTGTTACTCATTTTCAGAATATTCCAGTCCGTCTCATATATAAGAAATTTATTCCTTAATTTTTTCCACGTTATCGGTACGATACTGCGCAAAGTTTCAAGAATTCGGCATGTGAAGATGCTTATGACGTTTGATATACTACGCCAGACTTTTGTTGTACCGTTGCATGTGACAAGATTCATGTGAAGATTTTCTCAACGATCAAAATGCCGATATATAACAAGAAGAGTAATATGCCCGTTTTATTTTGGAACATCTTAGTGGTCCGATCCGTGGATACATTATCCGGATATCTGTATGGATATTCATAGGAGGACTTTCACATGATTGGCCGATCGAATTCAATTGAATTTATACAGTTTAAAGTACTTTTTGAGATTTCGATAATCTACTTAATAAAT